CCAGTTTTATCTGAACAGGCCCTGTGATGACCTGAATTTCGAGCTTGTTTTACACTCTTAAGTGACTCAATTAATACCCCTCTTCTCYTCTCCTCTCCTCTCCTTCATCGTGACTCAGCTCCTTTGTACAATTTGGCCTCATTTCTCAGGTGCACATGATAGACACCAAAGAGGAAACACTCAGAATAACCCTAGCCTTAGGGCAACACTTTCTTGAGCTATTATTGATGTTGTTAGCACCGGTTTCTCTTTCTCGGTTGCTAAATTCTGCAAAGTTTCCTTAGACTGGGCTCAGGTACTTTTCTTGCTCGACAGCTGCCTTCTTTATCTCCATTCTTATGTGTCGGTTAAAAATCTAGGGGAGTTTGCTGCTCAAATAAATAAATAAACAAAACAAAACAAAACAAAATAAAATAAGGATAAAAAGTCTACTTCTCTTAGCTTCTTGAGACTGAAAATGTTCCTGGATGGTCTCATAGCCATGAGACCTACGCTAATGCCTTAACTGTGGTGCTGGGTTGGGGTCATATATGACAATCCCTGCTCTTGCTTTTAGACCAGGGCGTTTTCATCCTCCAACCTTATTTCCTTAGCCCCTGGATTACTGCTTTTCCCGAATATTGCTGCTTGGAGGCCTCACGCCGGGCTTGGAGCCCTCAGGACTAGCAGTGGTTGTGCCAGGCTGTGACCTCCCTGTTGTTGCCGCAGATCTCACGGGCAGGTCTCCCTTCGAGAACGGCCACCCTGCATATTTCCTATCCTGACACACAGGGACTATTGCTSTGCTTTGGGAATATTGAGGGGGTACTTTGCCCTATTTTCTCTATCACATTGGGAATGTTCTTTCTGTTCTTCAAAATAAACAGGCCAACCCCTCCCTTCTCCCCCCACCCAGCAGTTTGCATGTAAGCTGTGCTCTTATTTTCCTTTTGGAAATTTTCTATTTGTTGAAAGTATGATCGGAAGTATAGGAAAGTATAGGAAAATACCTTCCTCTGACATTAAACCTGTAGGGATCTTTAATTGTTAAAATGAGGGAAAATATTTATAATGTAGTAGTGAAAAAAGTGCATGCTACAAAGTCAGCTTCTTGGCTGTTTCTCTTTGAAAATCTGTTGTTTTGTAATAGTCTGCCTGGGTGGATGTCACGTGTGATGAAGGTAAAGGACACAGTAGGAGAATTCTCACCTATTTTCCCTAATCTTTGTCACGAAAAAAAAATACYGAGTGCCTTCAAATGCTCCCTAGTGAAAATCAGGGACAACCTGAAATAATTACGTTTAAAATAGGGAGGAAGATTTGGCAGGAGAGTTTTAACGCAAGAAGAAAGCAGAGAGAGGCTGCAACTGGGAAACAGGCCTTGGAYAGAGCAGAGATGAATTAGTTGTCCCCTTGGACTAGAACAGCTCGCGCTCCGAACATAGATTGAAATGTGATTGATCAAAATGTGATTGATCAGAATGTGATTGATTGAAATGTTATTGATTGAAATGTTGAAATATTATGCATGCTTTTTTCTCTGAATTTTTGAATCTGTATTTTTCTGAATCAGATTTGATATTCTACATTTTTTTTCTTTTTTTTTTTTTTCTTTTCCCGGTGGTAAAGAGACTTTTATGTTGTTGAGGATGCTTAGGGATGGGGGTTAAATGTAGGGGGGGAGGAAACTCTCCCTTTAATCGCATGGGGTGGGTGCTGCCCGTGTGGCCGGGGGGTCGCGTGGGTCCCCGCAGTGCGGGGGCTGCCCGGGGCTCTGCGTTGCAGCGCGCGCCCCCACTCGCGCTCCGTGCGACACGAGGGGCCCCGCGGTGGCCCCGGCCCCCGGGACAGACGGTGCCCACGGGACACGCACGGGTGGGCGGGCGGTGCAGGGCAGCGGCAGCCCCGGGGGGGCACCGCGGGGACTGCACCAAAACGGTTTCTTTCGCCTGGAAATGGGTGGGTGATACTCAAAAAGCAAGCGCCGTGTTGGCCCCTTGCAACAGGCACCGCAGGAGAAACGATAGAAAATATAAAAGGAACCAAAAAAAAAAGAAAAAAATGGTGAAAGAGCAGGTCCTGATCCTGATACCTGGGGGGAAATGAAATGGAAAATGCAGAGGAGCCCCGGYGCGTTCAGAGGGCTCCGTCCTGCTCCTGCTCCCCCACTTGTGCAGCAGTCCCCGCCGCCGCAGGGCGGTCCCGTCGGTGCGCGGCGGGGTGCGGAGGCTGCGGGCTCCGCGGGTGCGGGGCTGCCGCCGCCCGCTCCGCGCTCCGCGCTCCGCCCGGGGCCGCCGCGGGCCGCGCCGTGGGCTTTATTCCCCCGCAGAGCCCGGGCGCGGACCTGCGCCTTGCCCAGCCTGGGAATGACCCATTTAAAATAAATAAATAAATAAATAAATAAATAAATAAATAAATAAATAAATAAATAGATAGATAGATAGATAAATAGATAAATAAATATATAAATAAATAAATAAAATAATGATGATTTAAAAAAAAATCAGTGAATTCACTCATTTTTGCATTCAACAGACCAGGGAAAACGGTTTCTGCGCAGAGCAGGGAAGAAAGGGAGGAAGGGGAGGAAAACCCATCGTTTTGGCGAGCTGGGTGTGCCTGCCCCCCCCAGCCCCCCCGGCGGCTCCGTGTCGCTGGGAGGGCCCCGCCGCCAAAGCCACCCAGGAAAGGCGGCCCCGCGCGCTCATTAACATTCCCCGGCGCTGCCCCTGCTCTTCCTCTCCTCCCGTCGCCTTCCTCGCAGCCCGCCAGCCGCTCCCTGCCCCCCGATGGCCGCAGCCCCCTCGAGCTGAAGCCGCTCGCGCCGCCCCGCAGCTCTGCCGCAGCGCCGCAGCCGCCCGCAGCCCGCTCCGCGCCGCCCCGCGCCGCTCCGCGCCCGCTCCGCCGCCTCCGCGCCATGGCCAGCACCGTCTCAGGTAGGGCGGCCGGCCCCGCGACCCCCTCCACACCACGCTCCCTTTTAGTTCCCCCTGCTACCGAAAGATTTGGGAGTTTCTTTTATATATAATATATATWTTTTTTTCCCCTTGCGTTTCGGGGGAGTTTCRTGGCAGGGTGTTAGCTGCAGCTTTGTTCCCCTTCCTCCCCGATACACACCCCCCTCCCCGATGCAAGACAGCAGRTGGGCTTTTTATTTTAATATAAATTCACACAGAATGCTAATTTAAAACATTCCCGACCTCTACATTGTACCCTAAGAAGATGCCGCTGCATGTCAATTGATGGCTATTTTTGTAGCATAATGCAGCTGTTGTAACATAATGCGGATTTTTTTTTCCCCCTCTCCTAAGAAAAAGCACTGTGTACCTGGGTGCAGAGAATCTGGAAATTACATATTTTCTTGTGCAAATCATTTGTGAAAATCATTTATTCCCCGAACGGGTCATGGGAGAAAAAAAAAAAAAAAAAGGAATTGGCAGCAATGTCCTAAAAAAACCCACCAATAACCCTCTAAACTGAAGGAGAAAAACCTAGATGGTTTCTGTGCATTCTTGRGGCTCCCCATCCATACATTTCTTCCCCAACTTGCATTTCTTCCTTAGAAGATGCTACAGGGGAGCGGTCCTCTGATGGCGTTGGGTGCAATGCACTGCTGCAAGGGAAGCCCTTCCTCCCTCCTGCAGTAAGAATGGGAATAATAGCACTGCTGCAAGCGGCCCTGGGCCAGCCTGGGCTGCGGTGCAGCCTGCTGCAAGGATGCTCTGCCTCCCCAGGGAATCTGCTCCCTCTCCATCAGCCTTGCCACTTTTTTTTTTTCTTTATTTCTTTTTTTTTTCTTTCTTTTTTTTTTTTTTTTTACTGAGGAGAAAGGATTCAAATGGCTGGAGCTGGAAATTTGCAGAAGAAAAGCCTGGAAGGGTATAATGAGCAGTGGGTGGGTTTTGAGGGATTTTTTAACCTTTTTCTTTTCTTTTTTTCTTAAGAAAGGAAAAAAAAAAAAAAAAAGGAAAAGAAAAAGTTCTCTCCTAACACTGCTCTTAATTCTATAGCGCTTTATAGAGGGGCTTGGGTGGGTGAAGCTCAATCCTAGACAGCAAGGATGTAGGTCTGAATGGGAAGAGGAGACAAAAAGGAGATGGGATCCCGCTTTGTGCCCCTTCCCAGGCAGGGCAGCAGCCAGGGGGATCCCAGGCAATGTTTCCTGCTTCTTTTGCTGCCTTTTCTCTGTATTTCCTGCTGTGCATTTTCTGTGGCTTTCTCCCTTTGAAAGATCAGTAAAAGCAACAAGAAATGGGCAGAAACATGAGGGGATGGCTGAGGGKGCAGCTCATCCAGGGTAGGCTTTGCATGCAAATAGCAAATGGCAAAGGAAATATGGTAAAAATGTGTATACATGACAGAAAATCTTATACATACGCATCTTATACATCTTATCTATATGATATATAATCTAATGATAGAAAATATGATAGAAAATATATACAGTAATATATTTGTGTGAATGTCCCTCTGTGAATGGGCGTGTGCGCTGGTCTCTGCTCTGAAGGTCCCACCCATCTGCCTCCCTTTCCCGCAGGGTGGGATTGGATCTAATGGGCAAAGCGGGGGTGGGAAGGAGAGCTCCGAGCCGGCAGCCATCTAACCAAGGTTGCCGCGAACTCGGCGTGACGGAGCGGCCCGTGAGCACCCGTGGGCACGAGGTGCRTTTTTCCTTCGGGGCATTCTTGCCCTCGCAGCCCACCAGAGATCCGTGGCGTATTTGACCCTCTCGAAAAAGCAGTTTTGCTGTCAAAGGAGACTTGGAATCATGACAAAGATGGTGCTTCAGAGAAAGTACATTTCCTTTTGGCTCAGATCAAGCAGAGAGACGGCTTCAAAAAGCGGAGAAGTGACGGGAAAGCAGCCCTGTGGCAGGAGGAGAAAAGAACAGAGCGGAAGGGTTTGGGAGCCAGGCTGAGCCTCGCCCAGCCGCTTTGCAGGGAGCAGCTTCCATCAGCTCTGCATTTATAGCAGGCATAGAAAGTGACTGCAAAAGCAAGAGAAAAAGGCAGGCAAATCATGTAAATGAAGGAAATAGTCTTTTGTTTTTTCCTTTGTTTCTATATATATATATATATATTTTTTTTTTTCTGTAAGGAGCCGTCTGTAATTGTCTGCAGCTGGTGCCCATGGGTTTATCCCCTTTGGGAAGATTTTCTTGGCTTTCCTTAAGCAAACAAATCAATTGAGGATAAAAAGAAAGGTCTGTCCACTTGTGCCTTCCCACCAGCCGCCTCTCTTTCCCACCTGCCACCCCGGGCGGTTTCCTCCTGCCCGCGGGGGCTGTTTTCCCGTCCGGATGGAGCCGGGAAGCGGTGGCACATGCTCAGTGCGGGCTCAGCTGCAGTGCTGGCCATGCAGCCCGAGCCCTTGCACCTCTCCAGAGAGCATCCCGACAAAATAGGACCGTGTAAAAAAAATTAAATCAATTTAAAATAAAAAAATTAAATTAAAAAAAAATGTACACTGCAAAACGGGGAGCCTGGGTGAGGTCTCCACCATCATCATCCCCGTCACAACTGGATGACTTCCAGCATCATCCATAGGTGTCTGGGGTGGGTAAAGGGGCAGCTGAGCAGCGGTGGCCGTGCTGGGGGATTATGAAATGATGCAGTAACTCGAAAACCTCCTGGGCTTTCCTTGGATGTGTGTCTGGGAAGGAGGAGCCAGGGTGGAGCAGCGGGATTGTCACGCCAGGCCTGCAGCTGGACACCATGCGGTGCGTCTGTCCTGCCGCTTCCCAGCATTTCYCCTCCTGCGCTGGGATGTGAGACTCCTGTGACTGGGTAGGGGTGGGTTACCCCTCAGCCCTGGTCTGGCCTGACAGAATTGCCAAATTGTCACTGATGCAGGACACAGCCCATTCAGAGCCCGTTTTGCCCAGTCTCTCCATCTCTCTACGTTCTCAAGAAATCTTTTTTTCCCTTTTCTTTCTCTCTTTCTTTCTTTCTTTCTTTCTTTCTTTCTTTCTTTCTTTCTTTCTTTCTTTCTTTCTTTCTTTCTTTCTTTCTTTCTTTCTTTCTTTCTTTCT